GCTTTGACATTGAGGTCTTTGATCCATTTGGAGTTGATTCTGGTACAAGGTGATATATAAGGATCTAGCTTTAGTTTTCTACAAGTGATTATCAATTTTCCAGCACCAATTACTGAAGAGGCTATCTTTCTTCCATTCTATTTTTTCAGCTCCCTTATCAAAGATTAGATGGCTATAGGTCTGTGGGTTCATTTCTGGGTTTTCAATTCTATTCCATTGGTCCTGAGGTCTGTTCTTCTGCCAGTAATAAGCTTTTTTGATTACTATGGCTTTATAGTAGAGTTTGAAATTTAGTATTGATATTCCTTCAGCACTGTTGTTTCTGTTAAGAATTGTTTTTGCTATTCGGGGTTTTTATTGTTCATATGATGTGGAGCACATGGGCAGCAAAGATGGCGCTGAGAGGGGGTTGAGTGGGCAGAGCCTAATTTACTGTAGAGCACATGGGCAGCCAAGATGGCACTGGGAGAGAGTTGAGTGGGCAGAGCCCAATTGATCTGCCGATCAGTGCCTAACCAGCCCGTGAAGGCTCAGGTGAATGATAGGGTGTGACCTTGACAGTGATTGGTTCCTCTTCCTCCCTTACCATGCCACCCACCCTTTTTGTCTTTAAAAGGGGCTGCTCTCTGTTAATAAACGAATTTTCTACGGCTGAGGGAGGCTGGGGAACGGACAAGCGCCGCACTTACCTCTCCTCGGACCCGGTCCGTCTTTTGTGGGACGGACGAAGACCCAACAATATGAATTTTTGGATTGTCTCTTCTATTTCCTTGAAGAATGAAGTTGGAATATTGATAGGTACCACATTGAATTTGTAGATAGCCTTGGGAAGTATTGCCATTTTCACGATGTTGACTCTTCCAATCCAGGAGCATGGAAGGTTTTTCCACTGTCCAAGTTCTGTTTTGATTGCCTTTTTGAGGTTTTTAAACTTTTCATCATAGAGGTCCTTCACTTCTTTGGTTAAGCTAATTCCTCTTTGGTTAAGCTAATTCCTAGGTATTTGATTTTTTCTGGGGCTATTACAAATGGAGTTGCTTTTGTGATTTCAGTCATGCTTTTCATATTGTTGGCATACAGAAAAGCCATTGATTTTGAGGGTTAATTTTATACCCTGCTACTTTGCCAAAGTTTTAAATCAGCTTGAGTAATTTGGGAGTATGGACAGAAGGGAACCTTACTGCATTGTTGGTGGGAGTGTAAACTTGTTCAACCACTTTGGAAAGTAGTATTTTCACAATAAAAAACTTAATTTAAAAAAATCAAAATTTATTATTTAAGCCCAAATTGAAGGAAAACTAGGAACATAAGGGTTAATAAAAGTATAGTAAAATTTTGTAGGAAAATTAGTATATTTGAACTTGCTTTATGTAAAACTTTACCTGACTGTATTATAGACATTGTATCTGACGATGTTTCCCCCACTGGTATTGTAAAACAGAGGCAAAACAAGAGTCTTGTAAGACAAGACTTTAAACATCAGTGCTGCGAGCATTATTATAACTCAAAGTATGGAAGCTGGAACTTCTTCCCTTTCTTTCCTATTGTACAATCCTGCAGAGACCAAATAGGTCTTTCTTATTATGTTACAATCTCTTGACATATGAGGCATTGATGGCCAAGACAAAGAAATACAAATATAAACACAATTTTCATTATCCATTATGAGTCTAGTGTTTGGATATCTAAAAGAAGTGGTATTTGGCAGAGTAGGATGTACACATGAAAAAATTTATTATTCTTCAATGGGACACAGGAAAAAACTACACAAAGAAAGTTGAGGATGGCCAATGATATAATGTTTAATGGTGCCACCACTGAGTCTTAACATCTTTGACAATGTTCTCAGTGAGTTTCTGGGAATTAGTTGTTGAGCTGGAGATGAAGAAGAGATAAGACTGAGACCATTCTATTACTTTGAATTCTAATAGATTTGCAGAAGTTTGGCATGGAAATCATAGATACATGAGGCTCATGTGTTACTCGTATTATGATTATTTGGATCATGTTCTTTTTTTTTTTTTTGTCAGTCGTAGGGCTTGTCCCTCAGCTCTTCAGCTCAAGGCAAGCACTCTACCACTTCAGCCACAGTGCTACTTCTGGTCTTTTCTGTTTATATGGTGTTGAGGAATCAAACCCAGGGCCTCATGCATGTGAAGCCAGCACTCTACCACTGAGCCACCTTCCCAGCCCTGGATCATGTTCTTTTCTTTCTTTCTTTTTCTTTTTTTTGGTCAGTTGTGGGACTAGAACTCTAGGCCTGGGCACTGTCCCTCAGCTCTTCAGCTCAAGGCAAGCACTCTACCACTTGAGCCACAGTGCTACTTCTGGCCTTTTCTGTTTATGTGATGCTGAGGAATTGAACCCAGGGCTTCATGCATGGGAGGCAAGCACTCTACCACTGAGCCCCTTTCCAGCCCTGGATCATGCTCTTAAATCATAAATGAAAACAAGGCTGGGATGTTGCCAGCCTCTAGGTATAGCTCTATGAAGCAGATGCTGTCAATATTCTACCATGTCTCTGGACCTCTCAGAATTCTCACTTGATTTGCATGTGTGCCAACAGGCTCTTGTTCTTGGAAATACAGAAAAGTGTTCTGTATACTTGCTTGGCAGATCAGAGTAACAAGGAATCATGTAACCCTAACCCACATATATCACCACACACATATCTACAAGCTGATCCCTCTACCAGTGATTCCCAGGAGTTGATTATAAATAAAATACTTCTGTTCTTGTTCCCTAAATAGGATAATATAAAATAATAGGTGTGTGTATGTATGTGTGAGACAGAGACAGAGAGAGAAAGCTTGTACCGTTCCTTATAGTTCCCTTGCAAGGTTGAGATCCAGTGTTCATTGTGATGGTTGGGTTTATGATGAATTTTGCTTGGTGTCAACCCGTTCCTGAATCCACTGATTCATTTTCATACTGGTGTCATCAGTACTCACATTTTTTTTTTTAGTGTCTACATTGCCCAAATGACATCTTGAGTATGGGGTCTTTGGTAGAAAATCTGTTTCCCCATCATAAAACACTAGGGGAATAGGTTCAGGAAATATGTTGGTCTGCTATTTCTTATTTTTCAAAATATAGGCCAGATGCTGGTGGCTCATGCCTGTAATCCTAGCTACTCAGGAGGCTGAGATTTGAAGATATTATTTTGAAGCCAGTCTGGGCAAGAATGTCTGTGAGACTCTTATCTCTAATTAACCACTAAAAAGGCAGAAGTGGAGCTGTGGCTCAAGTGGTAGAGCACTAGCCTTGAGAAAAATAAGCCCTTAGGCACAATGCTTAGTCTGAGTTCAAGCCCCAGAGCTGGCAAAAAAAAAAGAAAAAGAAAAAGAAAATTGTCTTGTCTGGATGTACTTTATCCTTATAGTGATTATTTGAAACATATGTTTTGGCAGGAAAGTCCCAACTAAATCATCTATAAGCAAAACAGGCTTCTGAAGAAAATCCTGGATTGACTCCATTCAGGGACAAGAGTCAAAGTATTTAATGAAGTGGTACAGCCTGGGATTTAACCAATCACAAAAGATTGTGCTGCACACTGACACACTAGCTGACTATGGGTTTTTCCCAGTGAAAGAGATTTCTAGTTCTGCCTGCGAGGTCATTTAGCAGAAAAAAGTTTACTTGGCTTTCTCCAAGGTGTCTCACTAGTTGAGGGAGGAGGATTCCATTCCTTGTTAGAAGGAAAAGTGATTGGCACAGACATCTACCAAATATCTCCAAAGGGACTGAAATGCTCAGCAGGAGCCACATGGCAAGAACTTTACATTCCAACATGGTGTAGTATCCTCTTCTGACTCTGCAAGTAAAAGCTACAATCAGCATCTAGTTTCCTTGTCAAAAATTGCCCCCATCTATTGGAGGTAGTACCTTGCAACACCAAAGAGCAAAATAGCCAAGAAGTAGGTGTATATTTGACCCAAGTTAAGCTAACCGAAGTCTTTCCCCAAGGACTATGAAAGCGAAGCACATTGATGAAGGGATGGGGTAAAGCCTTTAGAATTCACCTATTAGGAGGTTGCTAATCTATTCACAAACCATTAAGTATGGTCAAGTATTACTACTCCCCATATCATAGAGATGCCTGGCTTCTCATGTCTATTCAGTGAGCCTTCAAGTGATTTTCTAGTAATTTCCTCATTGCTTATAATGTCCAGAAATAAGTTTTTTTGCTTATAATAAAAATCTAATTCAGGTGACACATACTTATTTTTAAAGATTTTATTAGTAGCTAGGAGAAATAGGAGAAAAGAAAATGGTTGATGGACCTTCAGCAAGAGGAGATGCAAAAGATTGGTGTGGTTCTTAAGAGATGTAGTGTGTATCTCTTTAAGGTCATTCTCAGTTCCTTAAGAAGCTGGAATTCCACCATTAGCTTCTCCATTGAGCCATAGGTTCATTGGCTTATGAGCCAGGAACTACTCATGAGCCAAATTTTGGTGATTTTGGCAGATACTGGGAAAAGGACAAAGGCTCAGGTGATTCTCACTTAACATTTCTGTAAGAATTCAGGTAGATGGTTTAGGTGAGCACAGACATTGTAGGCTAAAGTAAGGCCTTACTGGAAGAGGTAGAATTGTGGCCATGGCATTTATATTGACTACAAAACAATTATATGTATGTCTCTGTACATTCTATGAATGCCATATTGTGAAATAGGATGATTCTCTCTCCTCTCTTTCTCTCCTTTCTCCTTCCTTCCCTCCTTTCTTTCTTTTTCCTTGTGGGATTTGGGATGGGACCTTGCACTTTGGAGGCAAGTGTTCTGTCATTAGGCTACATTTCCAGCAGCCTCTCTCTCTCTCTCTCTCTCTCTCTCTCTGTGTGTGTGTGTGTGTGTGATTTCATTAAGATGATTAAGAAACAACATTCGTTTCATGATTTAAGTCACTTCTTGGCAATATTGGGCACAATATGTTGATATCAAACTTTTAAAGAAGGGCTGAGTACCCTATTCATGTGGCTCACCTACAGTGCTTCTTTGCCTAGAAACCATGCTTTTTGAAGAATTTAGCTCTGGCTATAATGTCACTAACTAAGTCAGCATCTATGTCCATGGGTGTATCAATGGTGTCAATTCCAGACTTGAAGGCAGAGAGACCACCTGAAATGAAATATAGAGGTTTACACTCCAATATTAGCTAACAGTAGAAATAAGATATAAACATTTCCACGATATTCACACCCCACCCCCAGAAAAATTTCCCAAAGTTAACAGTCTCAAATTTTTTTTCCCTTTTTCCTTTCCTAAAAAGATGTTTTAAGAAGCACTAGAAAGGTGCTGGGAAGGTGGCTCAGTGGTAGAGTGCTTGCCTTGCATGCATGAGGCCCTGGGTTTGATTCTTCAGCACATAAGCAGAAAAAAAGCCAGACGTGGTGCTGTGGCTCAAGTGGTAGTGCGCTAGCCTTGAGCTGAAGAGCTGAGGGACAGCGCCCAGGCCCAGAGTTCAGGCCAATGACAAAAAAAATCACTAGAAAGGTTCTAATTTGTTTGTTCTCCCTTCCCCCTCCCCTGCTTTCTCTCTCTCATTTCTTCTGTCCCTTTCTCCCTCCCCTTTCTTTTTCTCTCTACAATGGCCAGTTTTGGTTTGTGTGTAGTGTAGACCTGGAAGAACTAGATATCCAGTAACTCTTTAGTATGAAATTGTGATAGTCTCTCCTTTATTCAATAATTCACTCAGACAGATACATACATACATACATGCATTCACACACACACACACACACACACACACACACACACACACACACACAGCCACAGAAACTATAGAAGAAAGAGCAAATTTGTAAAAATTTGTAGGGGGAGAAATCCTATGTTCAGCCAAACAGAAATTTCCACTGGGCTTCTCAGGGTACTCGAAGACTGGAGACTGCTCACAGAGCAAAAGTTTATTCAGACCATTTAGAAAACGGTTAATAGCTTTTTGTATCATGGAAAACCCTATGAGAAGAAGGATAATATACTCACTTAAACTACTGTTAACTATCAAGACACCACTCAATGGATGATACCAGCAACTCCCACATCTTACATAGACTTAAGAAGTTGATGAAGGCAGACCACTCAAAGTAACTATGGTTCTGAGACTGCTACCACAGCAAGTCCTGCTAGCCATGGCTGACCCAGTAGGAAGGCTCCCAGGTGCTCTCAGGACACATCTGAGGTTTCATCGTGTCATTCCTGCCCCTTGAAGCCCAAAGAGCCCTACCTTTTAAGTGTTGAGGCACGCTCCACGTGGGGAATTTTCTCTGGATCGCCTTTATCTTGTCTGCTAGAATCCCAACGCCCTGTAAAAGGTGTTCTTTGCTGTCCCAGGCACCAACTGGATGGTAAAGTTGTTTATCAAGCTAGAAAATTCAGACAATAATGTCAGCATCTGGACAAGGTAACACAGTTTTCTGCTGCTCTTAATTTCTCCTCCTTTCAGTCAATCTAACAGATTTGGCCTGACACATTTCTCCATCCCTCCCTTCTTCCCTCCCTCCCTTTTTTCCTCCTTCCTTCCCCTCTCCCCTCTTTCTTTCTCTCTTTCTTCCTCCCTCCCTCCCTCCCTCTCTCCTTTCCTTCCTTCCTTCCTTTTTTCTTTCTTTCTCTCTCTTTCTTCCTCTCTTTCTATCTCTTCCTTCCTTCCTTCCTTTCTTTTCTTTCTTTCTTTCCTTCCTTCCTTCTTTCTTTCTTTCTTCTTTTCTTTCTTTTTCTGATCATGGAGCCTGGACTCAGGGCTTGAGCACTGTTCTTGAGCTCTTTAGCTCAGGGATAGCACTCCATCATTTTGAGCCACAGCTCTACTAATGGTTTTTGAGTGGTTTGTTGGAGATAGAGTCTCATGGGGACATTTCTGCCCAGGCTGACTTCAAACTGTGATCCTCACATCTCAACATTCTGAGTAGCTAGCTTACAGGTGTGAGCCACCGGCACCCAGAGAGATCTGTCTTTTTATCTCCCCTCACCCAAAGTCAATCTACTCAATTCAATCCTACTGGTTTGTCTTTCATAAAGAAGAGAGTCAGAGAAACAAAGTAAAGTTTGGGGAAAATGGACATGCTTGGTTTTAGCTAAGCCTCCAAATACACAAGAAGAAAGGAAGAGGAAGAAGAGGGAATAAGTTGTTTCAAAGTCTAGACATTTGTAGTGGAAACAATTATCTAGCTAATTCAAATAAAAGTCTCTAATGGGGGCTGGGAAGGTGGCTCAGTGGTAGAGCGCTTGCCTTTCATGTCTGAGGCCCTGAGTTCGATTCCTCAGCACCACATAAGCAAAAAGAAAAAAGCCAGAAATGGCGCTGTGGCTCAAGTGGTAGAGCGCTAGGCTTGAGCTGAAGAGCTGAGGGACAGTGCCCAAGCCCAGAGTTCAGGCCCCACGACTGGACCCCCCCCAAAAAAAGTCTCTAAGGGAACTGTGGCTCAAGTGGTAGAGCACTAGCCTTGAGCTGAAGAGCTGAGGGACAGCGCACAGGCCCAGAGTTCTAGCTTCACGACTGAGAAATAAATAAATAAATAAATAAAAGTCTGTTTCCAGAATAAGTGGGAAATGGAACAACATAAAACAAAGGGGCCCATCAGCTGCACTGGACATAGAAGAAAAAGAACTAAGCAACCCAAAGACAGCAATGGGAAGGGAGGGATGAGAGGGAAAGAAGGAACAGCCTACACTAAGCAAAAGAAAAGAAATGTAATCATCACCTGATGTGGAAGAAATAATTTATTTGTATTGTCAAAGCCCATAGAATTCACAGACTTTATAGACCATGATAATGACAATTTGCCTTGTGAAGGTTAAAATGTGTTTGTGACTCTAAGAATCACTATTCCACAATACTGTGAAATATGTGAAATTTATGTAATCACCTAATCTCGATTTTTAAAAAAAAGTGAGAGAAGGGATGGGTTAGGAGCAATAGGTGACAATGTTGTCAGATACTTTGTACTCATATTCTGTTCTGTAGAATGGGAACTTCTTTGTACAACTACTTAAAGATATAATAATACAAGTGTTTAAAAAATCTGTTTCTAGACAGTCATAGAAGTGTATGCCTATAACCCCAGCATTGGGAGGCCAAGGCAGAAGGCAGATCATAATTTCAATCATAACTTCAAGGCCAGCCGAGGCTACATAATGAGATCCAGTCTCAAAAATAAACAAAAAATTCCAACAACTTTCATTTCTAACTGTGAAGTCTAGAAGCTTGAGTTTCTACAGGGGATTTAAAATACAATCTGAGAGCAAATATTCAGGTATCTTGAACCTCTTTCCTTCAATTAATCAAGAGGAAAATATGGGTTCACATAGGACTTAATTATATAATCCTACAACTCATATGGATGAAATTTTCCCAATTGAAGTACGTTGCGTATTTATTGCTCAGTTGTAGTTATGGTATACATAGCACATTTTAGAGATGCCCACTAACTGATAAGCCTTGAAATACCAAAAATGTGTTACAAAAATCCCACATCAAAGTGTACTGAAATCTTTAGAGCCAGACATGAGGCTGTTTGGGGGGATTGGAAGCACCATAAATGTACAGTATTTCCCGTTTGGGCTGGGCTTCTTCTGCAAGGAAGGATGAGTGGAGATGACAAACTCTACATACCTGCATCAAGCCATATTTAAGTCCCCTGTGGTCCCAGCCATTTTGCAGGACAGTTCCACCATGGCTTTCCCTGGATATGATGGCTGCGATGACAGCTGGATCGATGCAGTATCTTTGTCCCACTTCTTTGATCACAATCTGGTAAGACTTTAGGGCTTTTAGATCCATCTCAGCAAACATTTCAGAACCACGGATCCCTAAGCCAATAAAAAAGACATTGTTTCCTCTCCTCCAGAAGAAGACCCTTGCTCAAAGGTCACTTAGTTTTCCTATAGCCCCTAACCACTGCCTATATCATGGAGCAGCCGTTCTCAGACATCCATCATTCTGATCTCTGATTGAAGAAAGTCAGATAGGTTCACAACCTGGGACAGGTGCCCCTGGTGCTCTGCTTTTCCTCCTTTCTATCATGCATGCCTATTGAAGGGAGGGCACTGGATTGAGCCAATGTCAGCTTTAATCTGGTTGTGCCGCCTCCTAGTTTTGTGTCTGAAGTTGCTCCTTCCTGCTGAGCCTCAACACGCTGATCTATGACTTGAAGGTGTGGAATTACATATGACCTTATGGCTCCTTCCAGTCTGGCTCTCTAAAACCAGGGTAACATCTTGAAGAAGTATTTGAACAGATTTCGAAGGAGAGGAAGGACAAAGAGCAAGAGGCTTGCTTTAAAGGCTCATGGGTCTAGCATAAAAGCATAATGACTAACAGCGCCCGTCCCCAAGTTCAAGTCCCAGTACTTGTAATAAATAAACAGAATTCTGACTCAATCTAACAAACTATTTGTTTTCATTCTCCCTCTTTTTTCCAAACATTGCCCAAATGTGCTTATTTCTATATATGGAAACTATTAATAACTTTTAAATTAGATATTTTTTATTTGTAGTAATGATGATGCCTTCTCAAAATTGACTAAGAAAAGGAATCTAAATTTGGTGAGAAAGGTCAAATGTCTGTTGTATTTTTTCTCACTTACCACAACTAATCAAATTGTTTATCTCACAGGGGGCCCCAGAGGTCTCCATGGTCATGATGTCTCCGTAGCAACCATGGTACAGGCGAGGATGCAGGCGAGGATTCATGGCATGAGTGAAAGAATATGAGGCCCTGGAAGTGCCTGGCAGAGCAGAGAATGATCATTTGTGTGAAATCTGTGAGAAAATGCTGCTATTAAAGATATACCAAAACCAAGGAGAAAGATCTTAGACTTCCTTCTGAATTACTTGTGTGTGTGTGTGTGTGTGTGTGTGTATGTGACAAATCTGGCTTCAGTAGACAAAACAGAAATGATCCCTTCACACTCTTCCAACATTTTGGGTTTAGTTTTTAATACAGCACTTAATTAATTCTAAAACACCATACAAAGTATTGTGAAAACCCATTTGTATAGATCTCAAATATTGGGAAGGTGGCTCAGTGGTACAGTGCTTGTCTTGCATGCATGAGGCCCTGGGTTTGATTCCTCAGCACCACATAAGCAAAAAGAAAAAAGCCAGAAGTGGCGCTGTGGCTCAAGTGGTAGAGCGCTTGCCTTGAGCTGAAGAGCTGAGGGACAGTGCCCAGGCCCAGAGTTCAGGCCCCACAACCGGACCCCCTCAACCCCCCCAAAAAATTTGCTTCAATCTTGATTTTGATTAAATGGTCACAGACTTTTTATTTTCTTTCAGCATTGAGGATTGAATCCAGGGCCTCCACATATAAGTGCATACTCTCATAATTAGGGAAACATATTCTATGTCATGTTACAAAGTAAGTTTTCTATGTCTAGTTAATAAAATTAGAAATAAAAATTATTATAAAGACAATCTCTTCTTATCTTTACTCTCAGTATTATTTGAGTACTTCTGTTCAGGTCTGTTTGATAAAGGAAATTTGATTATTTTCAGAATTTTGAAAAGTTTGTTCTCATAATTCCATTGATTATAGATATGTACATTAAAGTTACAAATACTTGTTAGAATAAACAAAGTATGACAAATCATTTAAAGTAAAAAACCACATATTGTCTCAACATATAAATGTGTGTGTGTGTGTGTGTGTGTGTGTGGTGCTGTGGACTTAACTCAGGATCTAGATGAAGTACACTACAACTTAAAACATACCTTTAGTCCTTTTGCTTTTAGTTTGTTTTATTTTACATAGGGCCACACAGATGATGGCAATCCTCTCACCTCTGCCTTCTGAGTAGCTAGAATCAGAGGTGTGAATCACCATGCCCAGCTTGTTTTGTGTTTGTTTGTTTGTTTTGTCGTTCATGGGGCTTGAACTCTGGGCTTGGGCACTGTCCCTGCACGCTTCAGCTCAAGGCAAGTGCTCTACCACTTGAGTCACAGCGCTTCAGCTCAAGGCAAGTGCTCTACCACTTGAGTCACTTCTGGTTTTTTAGTGGTTTACTGGAGGTAGTCTCATGGACTTTTCTGCCTGGGCTGCCTTTGAACTGTGATCCTCAGATCTCAACCTCCTGAGTAGGTAGGATTACAGGCGTGAACCACCTGTGCCTGGCCTAGCTTGTTTCTAAGATAAAGTTGGAATTCCAGTTGTGTACTGCCACACTTGGCTATGAAAGTAATGTTTATTCACAGATGGATTTGCTCTCCCTACTACATGTATAGTTCTAATTAATGTAATTGTGTAAAGACACTGCACACTGTCGTAGAATTAGATATAGAACAAGTAGCAAAAAGGAATTGCAAATGGACCATAAAATTAGACAGTGAAATTATCAAATAAATCAGGATACACTGAGAAATATGATAATTAAGATGTGAGAAATCAGGCATCAGAAAAGCCATTTTACACTCTAAGATGTGGATTTCTGTGTGATTCACAGAGCGACAATCACACTGGCACCTGCTAAGCCCCTCAGAGTTGTGGCTATGAAACACACAGAAAACATCTGTAAGGTATGAATGGGATAGATAGTTTTCAGAAGATTGAGTGAGATTATGTCCATAAGGAATTTATACAGATTAATTTTCTGTTTTCTAAGCAAATAACTATTTGCAGAGCCTTGTTCTTATGTTGGATATTATAAGTCGTCAAGAGACGTTTGGAGTACAGAAAAATGTGCATAGGTCCTATGCCAATACTAGGCCATTCTGTATAAGGTCTTGAGTATCCTCAGATTTTGATATCTGCAGGAGTCTGAACCTGTCTGCTCAGATACTAACTCTCAGTGAATAGATTATGTATTGCCATTATACAAATCACATGTAAAATGGATATATGTGGGGTGGAAATGAGGCAGAAAACAGAAACCATCTCTTGGAAGTTCACTCCTTTTCCCTACTCTGCTAATAGAATAATACAAATTATCATTACTGTTTATCTGGATTATAAGGACAGCTTCCAATTGACCTCTTTGCTCCATTCTTGCAGTCTGTTCTTCACTCAGCCAGAATAGTCTCTCTTAACATTCCATAGTTTTACCATCACCAAGTTGGTATTGTGTCCTCCACACTCTATCTGATTTGTCTCCTTACTCCTTTTTGACTTTCCCTTCCCTTTCCTCACTCCCATTCTTCTCTGTTCCCATCCTTTAACATAGTAGGCAGATCATTTTTCCTAGAATACTATTGCTCCAGATAGCTACATGATTGGCTGCCTTTATGCCTTCAAGTATATTCAAATATCACTTCATTTGTATCATCAGAGATATGAATAGTTCATAGGCCAAAAGTTAAACTATCCTTAAATATTTTAAGTGATGCTCAAACACATTTGGAAAATGAGAAAACCACATTAAAACATTATGGAAATATAGAAATATAACCTCTTTGTTCAACAAAGAAAACATTTATAAAGACAGAATTTTTCAGTCCTTCAATTAATAATAAGCCAGAAGTTTAACAGCATATTCTGTGGGTGAAGCTATGAGTTAATAAGCAGCATGCTCATTAGCTTTCTGTCACTATAGTGAAATAAAGAGGTATATTTTAGCACACACTTAGGAAAGTTCTGATCCAAGATAAAGAGACACCATGGCTTCGAGTCTATAGAGAGTGTGTCCTGTTGAGAAACCTCATTTACATCACAAGTCAGGAATGGTTGAGAGCCTGGTTTCCTTAATCCACTACAAGAGCATGTTCTCAATGATCTAAGGATGTCTAATAAAGCCTTACCTCCCAAAGGTCCACTGCATCTCCCAAGAGTGCCCCTCAGGGACACTGTTTAACAAATGAGCTTTGGAGAACACTCATCCAAACCACAGTGGGCAGTCTCATTCCTTGCTGTAGAGAATTGTACAAGAGGCTATTCCTTTCATCTATGTTTATAACAGTAGGAAACAATGCACATGTCACCAATGTATGGATGGCTGAATAAGTGAGGCCAAAAACCAATGGTGACAAACTAGAGAGATATGAAATGAAAGAAGAGGTGGAGCTATACATTATGTTATAAAATTATTTCCTAGTACAATAATAGACCCCAAACAGCAAAAACAATTCTTAGCAGAAAGAACAGTATTGGAAGAATAACAATACCAAATTTCAAACTCTACTACAAAACCACAGTAATCAAAACAGCTTGGTACTGGCACAAGAACAGACCTCAGGACCAATGGAATAGAACTGAAGACCCAGAAATAAGCCCACAGACCTATAGCCATCTAATCTTTGATAAGGAAGCTAAGGAAATAGAATGGAAGAAAGACAGCCTCTTCAGTAAATGGTGCTTGCAAAATTGGTTAACTACTTGTAGAAAACTAAAGCTAGATCCTTATATATCACCCTGCACCAGAATCAACTCCAAATGGATCAAAGA